GAGCCCCTCGGCACTGGAAGAAGTCTGCGGGAAACCTCGGGGCCAGTTGCTGCACACGAGCGCGCCCTGGCGTCGAAATCGTGAGAGCCCTGAGTATTGCTGCGCAGGGAGGGGCACTTCAGAGGAGGGTGATCTGAGGCAACGATAGTCTGCCTTTGGGGGCCCCCCCCTCGTCGCCACGGCTGGACGCAGCTCGGAACCCTTGGAGGGGTCGGGGGAATGATTTTGTTCTGCCGTTGCCTCAATCCGCACTGCTCTCAGCACCTCTTGTGTGTCAAGGCAATCGTTAGCCAGCACACGCCTGCCGCGCGGCAAGCGCGATGGTGGATGCTGAACGTCCAGAACAAGAACTCGTCGTACTTCGTCGAGTGGATCCCGAACAACATCAAGGCTTCCGTGTGCGACATCCCCCCCAAGGGCCTGAAGATGGCGGTGGCCTTCGCCGGGAATTCCACCGCGATCCAGGAGAGGGGGGAAGGACGAAGAGGCGGGGATGAGGAGGATCAGGGTGATCATCAGGCGATTGCAAATATGGATCAGGGGGGCATGGATTAGCGACGGAGGCGGCACTTGCCGCATTTTGGGGAGGTGCCCTCCCCCGATCCATGGATTTGGCGACGGCGCGCCAAATCCATGGATTGCTAATCCGTGCTTTGCGCGCCCCCGAGATAAGTGGAATGGAAGTGAGGAGGAGGGTGCGGAACTAGCGTGACTCCCTCCGCCAAACAGTGCTTTCACTTACGGGTTCTTATTTCTGCTGCCAAGCGATTTGGACGTGTCTGGCTAGGTTTCGCCACGTCGCCCTCAGTGGGCGCCTCGTGGGCGCTGGGTGGGTCTGTCGCGGATTCGCCTGGTGCCTGGCCAGTGCTTCGTCGTGGGCGCCTCTTGGGCGCAGGTGATTCGTTTGCGCCACATCGTTTGCAGTGGAGATCACTCACACCACCCAACTTACAGTGGACATCTTCTTCCACGCAGCCGACACCACGTAGCGTGCACCACGTAGCCTACGCTACACAGGTTGCATCATATATCTGTCACTGCGAAGCTTGCGCCCCCACACTGCAGTAACTCACTGTGAGGGGTCCAGGCTGGCAAAGCTGTTCTTTCTCAATGAGAATTTCCATCCAAAACATATGATAATGCTCCTTACCTATTTGGAGCACTGACCCGTCTCGTTCAGTGCTTGTTTTGGTTCCACATGATGCCCCTGTATCGCTGTCCTCCGAACGAACGAAGCGAGTGGCCGGAGCAGTCTGTTAGGATCGGCGTTGGGCCCCTCTGAGGGCCAATCGGGGTTTCAATTCGCCCAGGTGCTGAAACTGTCACCTGCCCGCTTGAGCTCTCGCCCGCCTGGGCCGGTGTCTCGGGATGGTGGCACCCTCACATTTCTTTGCGCGCCGACCTGAGGAGACCTCGCGCACGGGCGCGTCGGCGCCCAAGGTAAGGGGGTGGGCAGGAGGAGGCGGAGGACGTGGCCGCAGTGAGCGGCCCAGGAAGAGGCTGCGCACAGCGGCTGGAACTGTGGAAGGGGGAGGGGGGGATGCAGTCCGCGACCACAGGAGGGCAGGGAGGAGGCAGCAGGCCATGGAGGAGGCATAGGCAGCGGGGAGGAGGAGATGCAGCCCGCGGCGGAGGAGGGTGAGGGAGTGGAGGACGCCCGGCCAGGGCTCGCAGGCGGACCCGGCGCACCAGCGCCCGGGGTAAGGAGGAAGGCTGGAGGGGCCGGAGGGCGTGGCCGCGGCGAACGGCCCAGCAAGCGGGTGTGAACAATGGCCAGAGCTCAGGCAGGGCACCTCTGGGTGCCTTTTTGTGCTTGCAGTGCACCTGGGTGCTGAGTCTGTTCCTCATCCGCTTGAGTTCTCGGCCTCGCGGCTCGGCGCTCGCCTGTTCCTTATCCGCTTGAGCTTCTGTGCTTATCAGTTTACTGTAGTTCGGTGCTCGCGTTGGTTCCAGGGGATGTGCCTCAATTTCGTACAACAGCCGAACTGAGGAGATGTTCAAGCGTGTGGCCGAGTACTTCACGGCGATGTTCCGGCGCAAGGCCTTCCTGCACTGGTACACTGGCGAGGGCATGGACGAGATGGAGTTCACTGAGGCCGAGAGCAACATGAACGACCTGGTCTCTGAATACCAGCAGTACCAGGATGCCACCGCAGAGGAGGAGGGTGAGTTCGACGAAGAGGAAGATGGTGAGCAGTGAGATGCCGCTCGTCCACTTTCCAGTACCTGCGACCTAGCAATGGATGTATCTATTGCTCGTTCGCACTCGCTGGAACTAATATCGAAGACGCCTACGGCGAATCACCGCCGCCCCCTGCCTTTTTGGAAGCGCCTATGTGGCCGAACGTTGAGGCCAGACCTGCCAAGCTATCGGACCACGTGTTCCCCGAATCGGTTTGGAAAGCCTTCGGGGAACACGTGGGCATCTTGAAGGTCATCTTGGCCGTCTTGGAGGCCTCTTGGGCAAGCTTTGGGCGATCTTTGGGGCTTTTTGGGCCGTCTCGGGCCAGCTTCGAGCCAACTTCGGCCATCTTGGTGGGTTCCTGGCACGTCTGAAGCCGTCGGAAGCCGTTTGGGGGGCCTCTATGGGCCGACTTGGGGCCCGCTTGGAATGCTCCAGGGCCGTCTTGGAGGCCATCTTGGGCGTCTTGGAGGCCATCTTGGGCGTGTTGGAGGCCTCTTGGGCCCTCTTGGGGCCCTCTAGGGGCCATCTTGGAGGCCACTTGGGCCATCATGGGGCTCTCTTGGGGGCCTCTTGGGCGATCTTGGGGGCTTCTTGGGCCGTCTTGAGCCGTCGGAGAGCCGAAAAGGCGCAAATGCCAAAATCCTTCAAAAACCAAGGGAAAATCAATGATTTTGGCCTCTTCGGACTCTCCTGGAGGACCTCTTGGAGGCCTCTTGGGCCGTCTGGGAGGCCTCTGGGGGGCCTCTTGGGCCGTCTTGGGCCGTCTTGGACTCTCTTGGGCCGTTTTGGAGGCCGTCTTGGACCATCTCGGGCGGACTTGGAGGCCATCTTGGGCCATCTTCGCGATTTTTTGAGGATGTCCCGAGCGAAACGGCCGTTTTTGGGCATTGAGGGATGGGTTTTCCGAAATTTGCGGGTGGCCGGCGGGACGGGCCGAAGCCCACTGGGGAGTTCTTTTAGAAAAAGAACCAAAACCAAAACCTGAATCATCCAGCACGCCGTGCACCCCTGCAAGCAGGGGGCGGCGGATCGAAGACGCCTACGGCGAATCACCGCCGCCCCCTGCCTTTTTGGAAACGCCGATGTGGCCGAAAGTTGGACTAGAGCTTGGCCAAGCTATCGGACCATGAGTTCCCCGAGTCGGTTTGGAAAGCTTTCGGGGAACACATGGGAGAGAATGATTATGAACAGGAAGAGGAAGAGGAAGAAATAGAGTAGGAGGATGAGGGTTGTTAGGAGTCTCTTGGGGCACCCTTGGGGTCTGTTGGGGGCTTCTTGGGGGCCTCTTCGAGGCCTCTTGGAGGCATCTTGGGGGCCTCCTTGGGCCTCTTGGGGGCCTTTGGGGGCTTCCTGGGGGTCTCTTTGGCCGTCTTAGGGCGTTCCTGGTCCGTCTGACGCCGTCTGGAGCCGTCTTGGGGGCCTCTCTGGGCCGTCTTGGGGCCCTCTTGGGGCGCTTCAGGGCCGTCTTGGAGGCCATGTTGGGCGTCTTGGAGGCCTCTTGGGCCGTCTTGGGGCGCTCTTGGGGCCGTCTTGGGGGGCCCTTGGGCCGTCATAGGGCCTTCTTGGAGGCCTCTTGGGCGATCTTGGGGGCCTCTTGGGCCGTCGGAAGGCCGAAAAGAAGAAAACGCAAAAAACCTTCAAAAACCTAAGGAAAACCAATGATTTTGGCCTCTTCGGGCTCTCCTGGAGAACGTCTTGGAGGCCTCTTGGGCCATCTTGGAGGCATCTTGGGGCCATCTTGGCCGTCTTGGAGGGCATCTTGGGCCGTCTTGGAGGCATCTTGGAGCCATCTTAGCCGTCTTAGAGACCATCCTGGCCGTCTTAGAGGCATCTTGGAGGCCATCTTGGAACCGTCTGGGGCAGGAAATTGGGGAATTGAGCTCCTGGGCATCCTTTCCGGGTGGCCGGCGGGACGGGCCGAAGCCCACTGGGGAGTTCTTTTAGAAAAAGAACCAAAACCAAAACCTGAAACATCCAGCACGCCGTGCACCCCTGCAAGCAGGGGGCGGCGGATCAAACGGCTTTCGGCCCATCCCGCCACCGTACCTGGATTGTGGGTCAGAGTCCTCAGGGATGCTTTTTGGGGTCTCCTCGGAGCTCTCTCGGAGGCCTCTTGGGGGCCTCATGGGGACAGTAACGCGACCTGTTGGGGGCCGTTCGGGGGCCTCTTGGGAGCCTCTCGGGGGTTTCTTGGGGTCTTCTGGGGGCCTCTTTGGGGCCTCTTGGGGCATCCTGAGAGCCTTCTTGGGGCCGAGGGCTCGAAGTGTCCGTTCGGGTTCCCCGTCTGAGCCCCGCCTTGGAGCCGTCTTGGGGGCCTTTGGGGCCGTCTTAGAGGCCTCTTGGGTCGTCTTGGGGCCCTGTGGTGCCGTGGTGGGGCCCTGGTGGCCTCTTGGACCGTCTTGGGGCGATCTTGGGGGCCTCTTCAGCCGCCCTGGAGCGTCGGGAAGCCGAGAAGGCGAGAAAGCCAACAGTCTTCAAACACCAATCGAACATCAATGCTGTTTGCTTCTCGGGGCCCTCTTGGTACTGGTCTTGGCGCCCTCTTGGGACGTCTTGGGCGCTTTTCGGGCCGACTGGAAGTCACCTTGGGCGTCTCGGACCGATTCTGCAGCGATTCGGGGCCCTCTTGGACCAGATGTTGGGGGCCTCTTGGGGCCCTCTTGGCCCGTCTAGGGGCCTTCTGGGGCCCGAAACAGTCAGGCGAGACGACGCCCCAGGCCCCAGGGGCCACGCGGCGCGCACCGGAGAATTTGAGAACTGCGGGTCCGGGCCCCTTGAACAGTTTTCAGGATTGAAGACCAAGGCTCCAACTCGTGCCTCTGGGGCAGCGTGGCGGATTTTACGGCTGCGCGAGTCAGCACATTGTGAGCACGTCGCTTGGAGAGCGTGCGTGTTTCGCACGCCTCACCTCTTGCTCGCTGCTCACTCAAGCAACACGCGTATGCGGGGCGGCCATACTGTTGGACCGTCTTGGTTGCATGCCACAAGATGAAAAACATAGATATTGGAGTCTTCGCATCGTCTCACCAGACCGTGCTGCAACGATGCCCAGGCAAGGTGTTCAAGGAAGTGTAAGAAGCACCAGCGAAAAACACCGGTCACGCCACACGGGGCCACGTGGGGCCCCTCTGGGACCATCTTGGAGTCCTCTTGGCACTATCTTGGAGCGTTTCCAGCCCTCGTAAGGAATCGCGTGGGGGCATGCAGGACGCTATCCACATGGCCATCGTCAAAACGTGGAAGGACGTTCGATGTCCTCACCGATATGCGCTGCCGCTGTTGTGTCCGCCCCCCGTCCTTTTTGACTGTCGTGACATCTTCTCTCGGGGCAATCGTGGGATTTTCTGGGCGTGTGCTTGGGCGCCTTCGGGAACACTCTTGGGGCCCTCGGGGGGCCCCTTGAGGGCCTTGCGGCGCAATGTCGGGGCCATTTGGACACCTCAGCTTTCTAATTGCGTCCTCGGAGTTCCGTCTTCAGAGTGCATTGGCGTGCGCTGGCATGTGGTAATCGACGAGAAGGCGCCGATTTAGCGTCGACTAGCGTCGATGTAGCGCCGATTAGCGCCGATTAGCGCCGATTAGCGTTGGTTAGCGTCGGTTAGCGTCGATTCGCAAGAGCAGGCAAAATGGCATGGGAGGCTCCCGTGAGTTGCCACCGCAAGTTGGACTGCTCGCGCTGCCCAGGGGGCTGAGGCCACAGTGGCGCGACATCAGCAGGTCGTGAAGCTGCTCGCGCGGGCCGGGGCTGGGTGTGCGAGCTGGCAAGTCGCTGAATTGCTCTCGCAACGGGGAGCGCGGGGCCTGGCCTGCTTGCGCCGCCCGAGCGGGTTCCGCGTCGCGCTGCCCGTCTCTCCGCGGGCGACTGGCGGCACAGCATGGGTCTCGAAGAGGCGATCGACTACAGAATTGGTCTACCCCAAACTTGGTTTTCCGTCGCATCAACGAGCGGTTCACGTAGAAGGTTCAATGCAGTGGAGACCCATGCCAAGAAACACCCTGCTTGCCTCCAGGATGCTCTGGGGTTCTTGGGTTTCGATGGTTTTGCCGTGGACAGCGTGATGTTCCCACACCAAAAAATCAGCGAACGTCCTGGGGACTCGGGGTTGGGTCTCTTGTGGAAGGCTTCTTGTGGTCGGGCCCCCACTTGTAGATCTACGGAGCATCCGACGTTCCTCCCCAGGCTGACGGGACAGCCAAGTCGGGGGTCACTCAGCTCTGTAGCCGATGTTCCCTGCTCGAAGAGGACTCCTCCGCCGTCGGGGGGGCGCCCGCCCCAGGGCCGGCAGAGGACAGCGTCCACGCGCCGTCGATGTGCGAGCGCGGCGGCACGCGCGGGGGGCATGTTACGAGCTCTGTCTCCAGCCGCCCCCGGGGGCAGGCGCCCCCTCGAGGCGGAGAAGCACACCTCCTCCTCCTCCTCCTCCTCCACCTCCGGGGGCGCGAAGATGGCCATCCTAGGCCTCCCAGACGGGGTCGGAGGAGATGGTGTCGGAGGATCGCGCCGCACCGCCGATGCATCGGCGATGCGGCTCGATGTGGGGCCCGATTTCTCCACGCCCACGTCGCCGATGCATCTTCGACGTCGCCGATGCATCGCCGATGCATCGGTGATGCATCGAGAATTCGGCTTGATCCTCCGACCCCATCTACTCCGACCCCATCTGGGAGGCCTCTAGCTTCGCGCGTGGCGGCGGGGGCCTTGGCCGCTTTCGCTGGCCGCGCCCCGCCCGCAGAGTCGTCGACCTGGCCTTCCAGGGCCCCTGCATCCCCGCATCGTGCGCCCTCGCTGTGCGGGTTGCCTGTGCCGTGCCTCGGCCGCTGGTCCTCGTCCGCCCCCCCGGGTCACCCCCCTGGGGCGCGAAGGTGGTCGCGCGGCGCGCGCCGCGGCGGGTGCCGCCCAGCGGGCCTGCTGCAGGGGCTGGTGCGGGGGCGCGAAGGGGACCGCGCGTCGCACCTCGCGGGGCGCGACGTGCGCGAAGTGAGGTGGCGCCCTCCGGAGATGTCCTGTGCGATGCGGGGGGGGGGGGTGAGTTGCCCAACAGCCGCGGGCTTCGTTCATCAATCGGGAGCGCTCCGCGCGCGACCCGCTGCCGTCTCGGCTCGAGCGACATCGCGGCGCCCTGGGAGCACTGCAGGTCTCCAAGCAAGGTAGCGTGGCAGCCTCGGAGCCATGCGTGAGCTCGTGCACATCCAGGGCGGCCAGTGCGGGAACCAGATCGGAGCTAAGGTGTTTCTTCTTCTATGTGTGTCTGTATGTAGCTGTATCTGTAGTAAGTCGTTGTAGGTAGTAGTATTGCAGATAGTAGCGCGTGGTGTAGTATATACGCAGTGAGCTGCACAGTCATGATAGGTCGGTTAGTCGTTGCTAATCGTATAACGCATATAATTACATACACCATTGTAGTTCGTAGCCGCAGTAGACAAGCGAGCTGATAGCAATAGTGGTATCATATGCTCTTGCCCTCGCTGGCGTTGCCGCTGCCCCAGCTAAAAAGCTTGGTGCTCCCCGGTGTGTGCGCCTCGAGAAGTGTCAGTCGGACCGAGGTATAAGATCGAGGTCGGTTCGGGGAGGGTGCCCTAATGTTCTTCGTGTTTGTTGGATGTTCTTGTGCATCCTGGGAGAGGATACCCTTGGCTGCTCTGTGCACTTTGGACGACGGAGGGTTTCGTGGTCTTGAGGGATGTTCTTCTGGCCCAGGTCCGACTGTACGCGTGCGAGTGACCTTTGGTTGGAGTGACTCTCTCGTGCGGGCCCACACGGCTTCCTCCAGCACTGGCTTGCGCGCTTGGGTGTGGTGGCCCACCCGCGACCCCCTGAAGCCGCGCACCAAAGGCCCCTCTTGCCCAGGGTCACTCTCGCGTGTGAACGAATGTTCTCCGTGTAATCTTGTTGTCGCGCGCACTGCTTGCACGTTTCTCACAATCATCTGGGCATCTCGGCGCTTCCCTGCGGCACCCTCGCTGTGCAACTTTGCAGTCCGCAGTTCGCAGCTCTGGTGGGCAAGACAAAAGCGCTACAAGTTCTGGGAAGTTATCCGAGTGCGCTGCCGCTGCATCCGCTCGCCGCTTGGGAGTGGAGGAGAGGGCTTGGGGAGGAGGGTCCATGGGCATCACTGTGCGTGTGGAACGCCTCGAGCGATGGGACTGGCAGGACAACCCACATTGACGCATGCTTGGCTCGATGCGACGGGTGGGTCCTGACCGGCATTCCTTGCGGAACTAATCGAGAGACCAAGGAGCCCGAACACACCCCAGACGCTTTCCAGCGCACTGGCGGATCTCCGACGAGCATGGCATCGACCCGACGGGGACCTACCACGGCGACTCCGACCTCCAGCTGGAGCGCATCAACGTGTACTACAACGAGGCGACGGGAGGGCGCTACGTGCCTCGCGCGGTGCTGATGGACCTGGAGCCCGGCACCATGGACAGCGTCCGTGCCGGGCCGTTCGGCCAGCTCTTCCGCCCGGATACCAGCCGCGAGCGAAAGGGTCCAGGGTTGGGCGGTCGCGTCTGCAAGGGGGGGGGGGCAGGTCCCCCCTGTGAGGCGTGCAGGGCAGGTCTTCGAGGAAGGCCGCTCCCGTCCAAGCAGCTGCTTGGACGGGAGCGGCCTCCCTAGAAGACCCAGACCACCCACCAAATCACCCCAACTTAACCCGACGGCCTCAATTTGTCCTCCATTTCCAGTGGGGGGGGGGTCGGGGAACATGGAGAAAACACATGTGGAACCCGTACCCCCCCAACCCGAAATTCGGGTCTTCGGGTTGGGTTGGGGTTGTCTGGTAGGTAGTCAAGCAGCCCTCCTCGCCTTCTCACAAGCTTCTGGGTCTCCGATGTGGGGTCGGGGTAGATAGGGTCGGAGGATCGCGCCGCACCGCCGATGCATCGGCGATGCGGTTCGATGTGGAGCCCGTCTTTCTGAGCCCGACTTTCTCCACGCCGACGGCGCCGATGCATCGCCCGACGTCGCCGATGCATCGGTGATGCATCGGCGATGCATCGGCGATGCATCGAAGATGCAGCGTGATCCTCTGACCTCCTCGGTTTCGAGCCCGCCTGGGAGGCCTCTATTCTCACAAGGTTGGCCCCTACAGTGGAGACCCATGCCAAGAAAAACCCTGCTTGACTCCTGGGTGCCCTGGGTTTCTTGGGTTTCAATGGTTTTGCTATGTAAAGCGTGTCGTTCCCACACCAGAGATCGGTGGACGTCTTGGGGTCTCGGGGCTGGGTTTCTTGTAGAAGGTTGCGTGTGGACGGGCCTCCACTGTAAACCCTGGCCGGTTCGCGTTCGGAAGCGCCTCCCGAGGACAATTTCGTCTTCGGCCAGACGGGAGCGGGCAACAACTGGGCGAAGGCGTGCGGCGCTGCCACAAGAAAAGCCATGTCTCCTCCCGCCGCGTCCTTGTCGAATCACGTTTTTCCGCTGGCTCCTGGTCATCTCCTGTCCTCGTCTCCTCGTCTCCCAGTCTCCTTGATTCGTCGTCTTGTCACATTTCCGTGTTCACAAACATAAAAAACTCGGAGGTCCGCGCGGATTTCTTGGATCCGCGCTGGACCCCCCTCCCTGGCGCGGGGAGCGCGCCATGGGCGGCGCCAGAGGCGCCGCCAGGGGGCCCCAGCGCCGATCATGGAAATTCGCGCGGATCTCCGAGTTTTTATGTTTATGTCATTCTTCGTTCCTCTAGTGTTCCGAGCCTCGCCTCCTCGTCCACCCCTGTCGTCATGCTCTTCACCCCCTCAATCCCTTACCTCCTGCGCTGTCCTCGCCGAGCCGGCCTATGCCTGGGTGAAGCCCACGGACGTTTAGTTACCCCATGCCAACCGAGGCTGAGCCAAGCCTGCAGAAATCTAAAGCTAATGATGAAGCAAGTGTGGCTTCCCATTGTGCCAGGTAGCGCCGAGGTCGCATCGAACAAGCCTGAGCGCGATCAGGAGCAAACGCAACAGTGACAGCAACCTACATGTTCCCTCCTCGTAGCTGACCGCCCCGTCCCCGCAACCGAGAAATCCCGTTCTTGCGGCGGACCAGCTCTGGTCTGGGGGCTACATTTGCTTCCTTTTGCTCCACTTTGCTTTTCACTTGCTTGCGTTTGCTTCCGCATGCTTCTGCATGCGTCCACTTGCCGCTACTCGCTCATACTTGCCTCTGTTGCAACCTGATTTCCTCCGTTCTCTTCATCTGCTCCCACACACTACGATCTGGCATCACTTGCACCCGCATGCTTGAGTTTGCAACTTGCTTCCACGTATCTTGTAAAATACATGTTGCTGACCTGGGCCACAAGCAACCTCAATCTTGTAAAAGACATGTTGCTGGTTTTGCTGATTTGTCGATTTTCTCCAGCGCCCTCGGGATCGCATCCTCTCTTGGAACATGCCCAACTTTTGCTTTCTTGCGACTCGTCCTTGCCACCCGTCCTTGCCAGCAGCGCTTCTGTTGCAGGCGTACGGTCACCACCAGGGAATCTTTACAAGGCATCGTATGGCAAGGTTGTTTTGTAGTTTCGAGGCCGCATTCTATGTTGGTGCAGGCCTCACTGTTGTGCGTAATGCGGGTTTTCCTTACCAGGGGCACTACACCGAGGGGGCGGAGTTGATTGACAGCGTCTTGGACGTTGTCCGCAAGGAAGCCGAGGGCTGCGACTGCCTCCAAGGTTTCCAAGGGCTTGGTGCATAGAACTTGTGTATACCATCGTGTCAGGATCTATTTTTGGAACGGGCCCCTTCCGTCAGTCGGGAGGAGCGTTTCGCTCCAACAGGCCTCAAGGAAAATTATTCCGGCGAGGTTACCTCGAGGGCCTGCGCCGTAGTCAACCTTTTTGTTGTCCCAAGGTTTCCAGATGTGCCACTCCCTTGGCGGCGGTACCGGCGCTGGCATGGGTACCTTGCTGATCTCCAAGGTTCGCGAGGAGTACCCAGATCGTATCATGGAGACGCTTCGCACTCAGATGATCTTGATCGATCGACAGGGTAGCGATCAAGGGCACTTCCGATCGCTGATTCATCGACTGAAGGACACCCTGGTGTCTGAGCTCTAGTGAACTGTGCTGCAGTCCTACGGATCCAATTGCAAGATTCACTGATTTCTTGAGGGGTCTGTGCGCTGATGGGCATCACGATGAAGCTTGTAACACATCGCCATGGCCCAGTACCAATTGCCAACGGTCCGAGACGCTCGGAAGGCCATTGCTCAATCACTAAGACTATGTTTTTTTCCCAGGTTGGAGCTAAAACATGGACCGCATGGTTGCCGTTCCCTCTGGCATGGGAATCTCGTAGTATGGCTATCTGGAGGTTACCATTTCAATGCACCAACAGAGCACGTCATGCTGGCGACTAAGTCACTTAAGCTTACCACAACAGCGAACTGCTCCCCGAGCTCCACCAGCAGTGCTTGCACTGTGGGGTTTGCGTGCGCCGCTTCGAAGAGTTTCCGCGGATTGGTTGGGGGCTGGCCGCCACCAGCATCGACTGACCGCTCGTCCAGCAGCCGGTCTAGCCACAACCAGCCCCGACCAGCCCTGAGAGGCCGCTTGCCCTAGACCAGCGGGATCCGAAAGTCTTCGCAGGTGGAGGCCTTTCGGACGGTGCCTTCTGGAGCCGACCATCGGGCGTTGCAGTCGGGGTCTGATCAGTGGGCCGACCCTGCAGAGTCCAGGGTGCCCTGGTGTCCTGCCTATCGCATCTTCGTGTCCTCTTCGCGCAGGTGGCCCTCGGAAGGGACTCGCGTCCTCCCGGATGCCCTCTGCAACGTCAGCCCCGACTGTAGGTGTCGAGGTCGTGCCCATCGTTCGGCCGACCGACCCGGGTGCCGAACCAGCTCGGCGCAATCGGTCATCGATTGGTGGGTGACCTGACGGACTGGCGAGGCCCACCGGACCGGGCGAGCCATCCGGATTCGATCATCCTCTGGGCGTGCGTTGGCCCAACGTGTGCTTTCCTCGTTCAGCTCCGCCGAGTGCACGCAGCCGGCGTCGGCCCTCGTTGCAGCGCTTGCGCTGTGCAGTCGAAGCCGATAGTAAAGGATGGGCAAGCTTCCCAGGGGTACCCTTGCATCCTTGCCTCCTCTCCTGGCCCACTCTCGATAGCTGGCCCCGCTCGAAACGCTTCGGCATGGGCGTCCAAGGGGCCTCGTCACACCGCCTGCGCTGTCTTGAAAAGGCGTCGATGGAGAAGCATGCGCTGGCGCCAGCACACGTCCGCAGGGTCGTCGGGCCATCGGTCGGAGGGGCGCCTCGCGGTCTGGGGTTAACCAGCCTGGAACTCACCCCCTTCCCCAAGGCTCAGTCAGTAAGTCAAGCCTGGCGCCCAAGCGGCGCATTTGCAGATAAAGAATTGTGCGCGCGTGAGTTGCGTGGAGAGGGGAAGGGGCAGGAGGGAAGAGGAAGATGAGAAGGGGAGAGGAAGGAGGAGGACGTGGAGGCCGAAACGACCAGACGACAAATCTTAGGGTTGCGTCCCCAGAAGCTGATGTAGTCCGTGACATGGGCATCGAGATACGGTGATGCCCATCATAGGGAGGGGAATCTGTCTCAGGCTTGTATCGGCAGCGGGCGAGGGGAGGAAGCGAGAAGGAGAAGGCCTTTTCAGAAGGCCGGGAGGCCCCCCGGCCTTCTGAGAAGTTTTCTCAGCCTTCCCCGAAGACAAGCACAGAACATTCTCAGAAGGCGCGAGGGCTCCCGAGAAGCCCCGGCACCGTCTGAGAAGGCCTTCGCCTTCTCGTTGCCCCCCCCCCCCCCCTCGCTCACCACCACAGGATGGATGGAGGGCCCTCGACTGGGAGGTGGAGCAGGGTCGGGCCAAAGGGATCCGGGATCCGAGGGGGCCCAGGGGGACGCGAGCGGATCGACGCACCTTCCGGGAGTTTCACTACTCTTTACGCCTTTCCCAGATTGTGTTGCCCTCGATCCCTCCAAGGATCCAAGGGGGCCCAAGGGGACACTCGAACGGATCCACGCGCATCCCAGGAGCTTCACTACCCTTTCCATCCTTCCCGGACTGCCCCCCAGTCCTCCAGAGATCAAGGGGCCCAGGGGGACACAAGCGAATCGACGCACATTCCAGGATTCTCGATGCTGTTACATCTTTCCCGGATGGCCCTCTGCCACTCCAGTTCCACCTTTCTTTCCACTCTTCCTCGTGGCACGCAGCGTTCTGCAGTGCCTCTGGCGATCTTCTCCTTCCGCGGAGAACGCCTGCCCGGAAGCCCCCCTGGGGCCCTTCTCAGAAGCCCCCCCGTCTTCTCTCAAGGGCCGCCTCCGTCGCCCCACCCCCAGGGGTCATCGACCGGGGGGGGTCGAGATCCCCCCGCCCCCTGCCCTTCCTCCCCCTCCCCTCGGCGGGAGCCGGGAGCCGGCAGGCCCGTCAGGCAGTCAGGCTCGGGGGTCCTTTTTGGATCGAGATCGGGCCGCGGGCCGGCATCGATCGGGCGGAGCGCTAAGGTTCTCCATTATTCCCAGCTCCGCGGTCGCTTCGCGGCCCCCGAGGGGCTGGGGGGGGACGGCCCGGGAGCGGCCGGTCGAGACCCTCACCCGGCCGGGAGAAGAGTCGATAGGGGCCGATTCCCGAGGGTCTCCTCCTGAGCCCGGCCGGCGGCAGAACGGGCTCAAGTCCCACCACCATCGGAATTGCGCCCCTTCGTCGAAGAAGGAGAAGAAGACACGCCATACACATACACTTTTGGCGCTCCGCGCGGGGGCCCAGCGCGGATTCAAGAAATCCGCGCGGACCGGCGACAGTCTGTGTTCATATCGTTTTTTGCTCTTCTGGTTCGGCAGCCCAGCTGGCGCCCGAACTGGGCTGGAGCGCGGAATGGGCTCAGGAGGTAGCCCTTGGGTTTCTCAAGATCTCCATTTGTGGTTTTGGGGAGGCCCAGACGCGATTTTTCTCGCCTCGCTGGCCCCCAGGAGCTCTCGATCCCTGTCCTGGCTGGGAGGCCCAGAGTGCGGGACGGGAAAATGACCACAGCCAGGGCTTCTTGTTTGCGCCGCCTTCCAGCCGGCCGAAAAAGAAGCAGTGGTTGTGGTCATTTCCCTGGTGCCAAGCTCAACGAAAACTACCACAACCACTGCTTTGTTTCTGCGGGCTGGAAGGCGGCAACAGAGGAAAAGTAGTGGCTGTGGTCGTTTTCACGCCCCGTACAGAGGTTGACACAAACACCGGTATCTGCGGTGAGCCTCCGCCGAGGGGAGGTGCTCCCGATCTCGGTGATGGTGGTGATAGTTTGGCCTCGTAGGTGGCCGAAGTATTACAGTGGAGGCCCGTGCCAAAGAACACCCTGCTTGCCTCCAGGGTGCCCTGGGTTTCTTGGGTTTCGATGGTTTTGCTTTGAAACGCGTGACGTTCCCACACCAAGAGTCAATGGACGCCCTGGGGTCTCAGGGTTGGGTTTCATGTGGAGGGTTTCTCGTGGTCGAGCCCCCACTGTACCACCAACGCCGAATTCTAGGGTCATCTTCCCCTGGTTGGGGCATGCCCGTGTGTTGGTCTTGGTGCCTATCTCCAGGCCTCCCACCTGGGACTGGCGCTTCCTCCCCCGTCGCTTTTGGACGGTCCTGGGGTGGGGCCCGGGAGCGGGCCCCATGCGCTGAACACGGTGAGGATCGTCAGGCGCGGTTCGTCTCGGTCGCCAGAGCTCTGCATGTCTGGGTGCTCCTGGGGGCCCCCTGGGCCCCGATGGGGGCGGCAGAGCCGACCGCGGGCCCAGCCCGAAAGTCAGCGACACCGTCGTGGAGCCGTACAACGCGGTGCTGTCGTTCCACCAGCTCGTCGAGAACGCGGACGAGTGCTTCCTGCTGGACAACGAGGCGCTCTACGAGCCGCGAGGCCGGCGCCGCGCCCGCCAGCTCCCCTGCCTGGTACTAGGGGGCACGGGGGTCCTGGCAGGGCTGGAGAAATAGTGAGCCGCTCCGGCCCCGGCGCGGCTCGAAGCGCGGGCCGCGTGCTCGGGGGCCCACGGAGGCCTCGGTCCTGGGCGTTTTTGCTGTTGTTGTGGTTGTTGTTGTTGTTGTTGTTGTGGATGTTGTTGTGGTGGTTGTTGTGGTGTTGGTGGTGGTTGTTGTTGTTGCTGTTGTTGTTGTTGTTGTTGTTGTTGTTGTTGTTGTGGTTGCTGCTGCTGCTGCTGCTGCTGCTGCTGTTGTTGTTGTTGTTGTTGTTGTTGTTGTTGTTGTCGTTGTTGTTGTTGTTGTTGTTGTTGTTGTTGTTGTTGGTGTTGGTGGTTGTGGTGGTGGTGGTGGTGGGGGTTGTTGTTGTTGTTGGTGGTGGTGGTGGTGGTGGTGTTTTTGTTGTTCTTACTGTTGCTGTTGCTGTTGCTGTTGCTGTTGCTGTTGCTGTTGTTGTTGTTGTTGTTGTTGTTGTTGTTGTTGTTGTTGCTCGTTGCAACCACCATGCTGGCTCCCATTTGTTGTTGAGATCGTGTTCTTCTTCGAAATGGAGTTGGGTGGAGGAGTGGTTGGCGGCCTTGACCTCGCACCCCCAGGGCTGGCAGGGGCATTTGCACTGGGGCGGGAGTCCTGATCAGGCCCTCCCAGGGCCGGGTGGGATGGCGGCGCACACTGGCGCGCCGACGACCATCAATCCTTGAGGATCCCCAGGGATTTTCACAGAATCTGCGTGTGCTGGGGGCCCTGAGCAGGCCCCCCGGGGCCGGGTGAGGCGTGGGCGCACGGGGGTTCGCAGGCGCCCAACAAATCATTCGGATTCTTGTGGGATACTTCGGATTCCTTAGGAAGCGTCAGCGTTCCACAGTTGCCTGTAGGATCCCTCAGGAGTGCTCTGGAGTTCTCATGAGTCCTCAGTAGTAGTAGTAGTAGTAGTAGTAGTAGTAGTAGTAGTAGTAGTAGTAGTAGTAGTAGTAGTAGTAGTAGTAGAAGTGGTAGTAGTAGTAGTAGTAGTAGTAGTAGTAGTAGTAGTAGTTGTGGTAGTAGTGGTCGTAGTGGTAATGGTAGTGGTAGTCGTAGTAGTCGTAGTAGTAGTTGTGGTAGTAGTGGTCGTAGTGGTAATGGTAGTGGTAGTCGTAGTAGTCGTAGTAGTCGTAGTCGTAGTAGTACCGTGGTAGTAGTAGTAGTAGTAGTAGTAGTAGTAGTAGTAGTAGTAGTAGTAGTAGTAGTAGTAGTAGTAGTAGTTGTAGTCGTAGTACTAGTACTAGGACTAGCACTCGGACTAGTAGTAGTACCGTGGTAGTAGTAGTAGTCGTAGTGGCAGTAGTAGTAGTAGTCGTAGTAGTAGTAGTAGTAGTAGTAGTAGTAGTAGTAGTAGTAGTAGTAGCAGTAGTAGTAGTAGTAGTAGTAGTAGTAGTCGTCGTCGTCGTCGTCGTCGTCGTCGTCGTAGTAGTAGAGGTGTTAGTAGAAGAGTAGAAGTAGTAGTAGACGTAGTCGTAGTCGTCGTAGTAGTAGTAGTAGTAGTAGTAGTAGTAGTAGTAGTAGTAGTAGTAGTAGTAATAGTAGTAGTAGTAGTAGTAGTAGTAGTAGTAGTAGGAGTAGGAGTAGGTGTCAAGCTAGCCAGCTCGAGCGAGTCAAGCATGGCATGCCCAGTCCCACCCGCCCTCCCACAACATAAGAAGCAAAGCTGGCACAACTGGGGGCCGAAGTCACACCGGCCAGCCGGTTTGGTACAGCTGATGCGGCCGCGATGGCGGTTGCCGACGGGAACTGGCGAGCGCGTGTTGAATGCCGCGCACGCATTGCCAGACGAGTCGAGAATGGCCCGGTACACCGCAGGAAGCCTGAAGGCCCCAACTTGTATTGTTTTTTTATAAAGGGGGGGTTTGGATGGGCGGGCGCGGGGTGTGCGCCGCATCCCATTCCTGCCAAGCATTTTGCGACGTGGACGACAGGACGTCCATGCTGAGAGGAAAAACGTTGGTGCGCGGCGCCGAGGCGAGAGCGACATGTCACCCCTTCGCGCGGGGTGTGCGCCGCGTCCCATTCCTGCCACGCATTTTGCGACGTGACGACAGCACGACCATGTTGACAAGAAAAACAAAAACTGTGTATTGTCTTTTGCAGATTAGAATGGGACGGATTGGATGGGCGGGCGCGGGGTGTGCGCCGCGTCCCATTCCTGCCATGCATTTTGCGACGTGGACGACAGGACGTCCATGCGACGGTGCCAATGACGGCGACGACTCTAGAAGGATTTGAGCATGCGCTCGCGGCGACGCGCGCGCATGTCGCCCGCGTGGTATTTTTTGCACAGGATTCGCGGCCTGGGTGCATGACAGAGCATCGCGAGTGCACCGCGCGATGACGTGAAATCGCTGGATTTGACCGAATTCTTAAGATTCCTATGGTTTTCCTATGATTTCAGCAAGAGAGC